AGAGCTACACTAAGAAATAGACTTCTCACTGAAAGGATGAACAAGATGCGTAATGTCACGCTTATAAGCTTCCAGCAAAAAACTCTGAACTTCATCCCTTAACATAGTCCCAAACCAAAGGAAGTGAATTCACCCAAGGTCTTGCAGATCCCAATTCCATCCTTTATAGTATTGATGAATCCAATGAAGCAAGCTAGAAGTACATACAATTGAAAATCCTTGTGAAATAAAAAATGGAGATTTCTTGAAGATTATGCCCTGTAAGTGAACTTCATCCATTTTAATTCCAGCTGCTATGTGAATTACTCTATTCTTCTTAAACTTCATGCATTATATCCTCTATGAATGTATTGAAGTGTTAGATTTAATCTGAGCCCCCATTATAATTTGAGCTACTATTCTTAATCTCAAAAAAGATCTCTTATCAATATTAAGGGCTGAGATTCTATGCTTCTATTGTCTTTGATTATACGAACATGACAAAGAGCCAAGAAGCTTTAATGTTAACATATAGGAGCGTCGTAAACAATTTTTTTCCTAAGAAAAAAGCTATGAAAAAATATTTATGCATGGTTGATAAAAAAAAAAGCTATGAAAAAAAAACCATAAATTACAAACGGGCTAAAATAAGAAATATTATATATTATACTTGTCCATATTAATCAATTTTTTAAATGATGGGGAAAAACAAACTAAAGAAATATCAAATTTAGGGCTTGTTTACCTTTGTTCTATTTTTATTTTTAAAAATTATTTTGCAAATCAATTTTTAAAAATTAATTTTAAAAACAAAAAAAATGAAAATTCATTTAATTATATTTATTTGGAAATAATTTTAGAATTAAAAAAATAGAAGATAATGTAGTCACCCGTGATTAATGATAATAATCTATCATAGTAGTCGGTCATGGCTGAAGATAATTTGCAAATATTTCATGGATCTAACCATCTCTAATAAAATTGCACAAATGAAGCAAGTGGTTTAAAAAAAAAATTAGTTCATAATTAGTTAACAATATTCGTAGCAATTGCTTCATATAATTTTTTTTAAAAAGAACTTAAAAATAAGCATAAAAAAGCTTCTAAAAGATCATTTATAAATATAAATGGAGGTATTAGTATTTCACCTATCTAACTCAAGAAATTATCGTGTAGATTCGATATACCACATTATTTATCGACTATTTAATAAAACACATATATCATATGTGGCTCTAAATATAAATTGATTTTGCAATTGATGATGATAAAGAGAAAAGACAAGAAATAAAAAAAAACTTATTTCAAAATGAAAGTTACTAGAAGTAATAACATTATATTTTATTTGATTGAAATGATGTAATTTTATTGTGTAATCTATAAATGAGGTGGTGTACTCGTCCATGCAAGAATTTCTCTCTTATTAGTTGGATCTAATGAAATTATGGAAGTTGATTAGTATCCATGGCAAGCAGAGATACGGTTCGTGTGTTGTATATGATACATATATGATATGTTGATACTTTTATTTTTTTAAAAAAAATATAGGATGCAATACATCTATGATATGTGTGTTTGTATTTATAAAAAGCTTACAAAACACCCTAAAAATATAATAATATATTTGAATCTAATTATATTTTTAAATATATTTTTTCCACATCATAGAAGATTTTAAAATAAAATAAAAATACAGAATAATTTACAATCTAAAATAAAAGTAATTAAAATTGAATAGTAAAGTATATTAAAAATAAATAAATAAGATATTTTTTGAAGACATAAGAAATTTATTTTATAAGAAATTTGAATATTTAATTTTTAAATTATAAAAAATATTAATACAAAAATATTAATAAAAATTTATTTTTTAAAAAATTCCTTGAAGTTTGCCTTGGAGTATCAATTATGAAGTAACTGACTTGTAATTTAAAAATTTGTATATTGAAAATTTAAAATAGTTTGTAATTAAAAATAATATTCTATACTTTATTGTCTATAGATAGGTGCCGCATGCAGTATTAAAGAAGCTTCAACTAGCATTGATATTAAATATGATAAGTGACATAAATACGTCGAGCAATTTAAAATATCGATTCCTAATAAATTAGTATATTCATTTTTTTAGAATAATGAATTAGTCTATGAGAGAATAATAGAAAAGTGAGGAGGAGGACTAAATAAAAAGAAGAGAGGTTAAGAAAAATATGTATCTTATTTGTTAACCATTCAGAGGTCTAATAAATGAGAAGTGGTTAAAAAGATGAGTAAAATACTTTGGTCTTACCTTTATTTTATCTTAATTAAATATATCTCTATTTTATTTTGAGTAAAATTCTCCAACCTCTCCTCAATTTTACTTTAGTTATAGATACATCCCTTCTACTTTTAAAACATTTATAAACTTTTTCTAGTATAAATATTTACAAAACACAAACATTCCCTCTATTTTTAATATTTTATTTCTATCCACTTAATTGTTAGTTGACTATTAAATTACATCTGTTGAATTAAAATATTCCTTTCTTCAAATATAAATATTATCTAAAAAATTTCAAATTATAAAAAAAGTAATACCTACATTTTTTTTACTTTTCATTTATATTTTAATTTTTATTTATATAAACTTATTTTTTTAGTAACATTTTCTAAAATTTTAATACATAAATTTGAAAAAATAATATTTTAAAGACATAGTTAAGAAACTTAATAAAATAATAATATTTAATATAATAAATTACTCAATATAATCTTTATATTTCTTAATTTTATTAATTTAACAGAAAATTTATAATTATTTATTTAAATATTGACATAATTATTTACATTTTTAAATTGGGGGAGAGAAAGAATATACAACTAAATTATAAGGGTTAAAAAATTTTCAACATAATTATAAATAAAAAAATTAAGCATTTGAATATTCTTAATAGTATTAACAAGTGGAATGAAATGTATGTTTTGAAAATAGAGAGAATATCTCTGTAATTTAAGAAAAATAGAAAGAGGTCACTATATTTTAATTTTTTACTTTTGAAACCTAAATAGTTATAAAATACAAGAATTCTCTCTATTTTTTAAAATTTTAGTCCTTTAATTTCACACAAAAATTTTATTTTAGTCCCTTAATTTTATAAAATATATTTTAAATCTTTTAATCCTAACATGGTTAGCTTCATCACAAAATTTTTTTACATTTAAATTTTGATAAAATATTTTCAAAATTTTGACATATAAAGTTTATTTTTTTTAAAATAACAATAATTGACATAAAAATAATCATTTGATAGTGTTAGGGTTAAAAATTGAAAAAAAACTTTTTAAAATTAAGAGGGAAAATTAAAAATTTATATAAAATTGAAGGGAAAAAAACACTATTAACTTTTTTTTTGGAGAATAATGGTAAGATATCACGTAGATATATTATATTTAGTTATAATTACTATGATATTTGTTATTTTGTTTGGGAAAAAGGATATCTTTTGAATTTGATTAAAATTATCTTAATTTTTTGTTCTATATTTGTCATATTTTAAAGATATCAAACTTATTCTAATATAAACTTTACATTTATATATTAATAATAATAGATAATAGATAATAGATCAATATATTCTTCTTCATTCACAAGAAATAAATATAATTTTTTAAAATAAAAATATATATCTAATCAAGCAGACATGTCTATAACAATGCATTAATGTATAAAGATTAATGTATAAAGAAGAAAAAAATTGAGTTTTGAATAAGCATTTAAAAATAATCTAAAAATATTCATAATAAGAAACTGAAAAAGTAATTCTAATAAAAATATTCATAATGAGTTATTTTTCCTTTGACTTAAGTTGTTTTTTATAGCATTGAAGAGGATATATTTATTTATTTATTTTTCAAATATCCATGCAATATATCCCTTTAATCTCCCTATAAGTTATCTGTAACAAAATCTCGTAAACCAAGGAAGTTAGTTAAATTAGTTCATAGTTCGTTAACAGTATTCATACCAATAAATCATATCAAGTGCTTTATAATAAGATGCCAAAAAAAAAAAAAATTCTAAGAAAAATATTCCCAATAAGTATTTTTAAACTTTGCCTAGTTCCTAAGTTGTTTTTGATAGCATTTAAAAGGGTATATCTAATTTTTAAAACCCCCATTCAATATATTTTCTACATTCTATTTATAAGCTACCTCTGATAAAATCACATAAATCAAGAGGTTAATTAAAAATAACTCATAATTAGTCAATAGTTTTTGGAAAATCATATCAATTGCTTCATATAGATTTTCTAAAATAACTTATAGTAAATAATAATATAAAAATTTTTAAAAGATAATTTATAAATAGAAATGGACATGCTAGTAACTTATAGTATTTCACCTATATAATTAAACTCTTTTAAGAACGAAATGAATTAGTCTACGCAAGAGAAAGAGAATGGCAAGAGAGGAGATAAAAAGAGGGGAGGTTGAGAAAAATATGCATCTTACTTAATTTATTGAATCATTCAAAGGTCAAACAGACAAGAGGCAGTTAGGATTATTTATAAAAACCTATGTATATTTATTTAAAAAGAAAAAAATATAACATAATCCTTAAAACATAATGATAAGAAAATCACATTAAGCCGTTAGGATTTTTTTCTTATTATAAAAAATACATTAAATCTTAATTAACTAAAAATATATTCTAAATATATTTTATTACATTAATATTATAAATATTCATATGTAAATAAAAATATATAATTCTAATGAAATAACCATAAAAATATAAAAGAATCCTAATATTTTCATGAACTCATACTTTTTGAGTTTGTTGAGTCATTTCTGGTTTCATTTTAATTTTTTAGAGTTATTATGCATGATATATTTACTCCGTGAAAAGAGGATGGATGTGATTTTAATTTTAAATTATTGTGGCGATTAAATTTCACCTTTTTTATTTTTGTAAAATTTACTGAGAATATAAATAAATGAAGAACGCAGGACCATAGAAACTAGAACCCACGTCTTATTCTTCTTATCTCTCTTTTATATTGATAGCCAGTGAGCCGAAGCCTCGCTTCCAGAAAAGATCCTCGAATGGCTTCTTGTGCCACGCATTCGTCTCTTATGCTCACTCCTCCCACTTCCTCTGTACATGCCCAAGACCTCACTCCCTCGCTTTCCTCCTTCAATCCTCAACCCTTGTCTAGAAATTTCTCTCTTTTCCATTGCGTTTGAAGTCTAGAGCGAGGATCTCCTGCAAATGGATCGACGTAAAATTGCAGAAGGAAGCTGATTCTAGGGTTTCCCATGTCGTTTTGGCTTCTTTCGCGACGGAGGCCAAGGTTGCTGAGAGTGGTGGCCTGTCCGCCGCGAATGCTGTGACTAAACCCAAGACTATGAAAGGGATGGCTGCATTGCCAACTCACATAAGGCACAAGGTATGCATAAATTATTGGATTTTGCTTTGTATAGGTGTTTTTTTTGTTACTCAGGGATATCAGTTTCAGAATCTAGTGTCTCTTTATGAAGAAAATGCATGCCTAATGCCTTTTCCCCTTTATTATTCAATATGGCTTATTTCGTATTGCTTTCTTCTTTAATATTTGGATCCGAATTCCGTCGATTCATATTTATTCCCTTTTGTGGTAAATTATGATTATTGTTTCGTAATTTAACTGTAAAACTTGCTATCATGGAATCGGGATGAATATGCAATTTCAAAGCATCGTCATCACACATTCAGATAGCCAGTTGGTGCAGTTTAGTGTTGAGGGATCTGAGTAGTTTGTAGGTCTTAAACTTTCACCTCAGTACTGTCATTTATCATCTGCCGAAAGAAAAGTAGTACAGGGTCATGCGGTGCCTTCTTTATAGATTCTTACTTTCAGTTTCATTATTATTTACCCACAGTTTTGGTTTAATCTTATAGAATGTCATACGGCTGGGCTTTACTTATGTGCTATTCTCAATGAATCATGGGGGTTCAGAAGTTATTTATTCTCATGTTCTGTTTCCCCCTTTTAATTAAGGTCTAAGATTTATACCCATCTGTATTATGCAATGGTGATTGTACATGTTCACTTGTCAACTAGAAGTGGAAATAGACACTTGTATATTTTTTGGTGGTTCTTACGTTTATCTCAGAGTCACAGTCAATGCAAATATTTATTTTGATTTTTGTTTTTTTTGAAACTTACATACTTACTTGATTTCCGCTGGTTGCCAAAATGATCTAAATGTCGTTTATGTTCTCTTTTAAGTTCAGGTGTTTGTTGTTTCATTGAGTTTCAAAGGCTAAATGTTTTTTTGTTGTCTCACCAGCTGAGATTGAAGAGGTTCATAGAGATTCAAAGACAGAGGGATATGATGACGGAGTATGGTCTAAAATCAGCTATGTTTATGCTAACACCAGCAGATACAAAATTCTTAGGAAAAATAAAAGCCCATTTTCGTTTCAACATTGACCCTAAATATTATGATCAACAATTAACAGCAACAGTGAGTCTTCTGCTCTTTGCTTGATTTTGTTATTATAAACTTCTTATAAATACAGCAGTAACACATAAATTTTCTGACTTTTATCCGATCTTAATAGGTAAATTTACCCAAGGGAACTGGAAAGTCTGTCAAGGTGGCTGTTCTTGCTCAAGGTACTCATGCTGTGGATCATTTTTTCTTCTGATTAATTCAAATTTCCAATATCAAACAAAGACATATTTTATTTTACAAAGGCTATATAAAAAATAACCGTATTCATTATGTAAACTTATGTGAATGATGTTTTTTTGCCTATGTGGTGGACAATTTGTTGTCTTCTATGCTGTCTTTCCAAAAGGGGGAAAAATTATAAATGAGCATGTATGAAAGCCTCTTGTCACAATGTGCTTAAAGTTCATACTATTCTGGATATTTGGGAATTCTCTAAAACATTAAGCAGATAAAAGATACTGACATACTGCCTGCATATATATATATATATATATATTCGGGATGAAGCCTTTTACTAACTTACATAATTATTGTTAAATAATTACATTCTACTAAGACCTCTCCAATAGTTCGTTTTCTGGGAATTGTGTGCGTGTGCATTTCTAATCTTCTTTTTTTCCGTAGGGAACATTTGTGATACTTGTCTAATTGAAACCGAAGAGGGTTAACTTGCTTAGTTTTATAAGCCCTTGGATTAGTTATTATTATAATTTTGAATTTATGATAATTGTAAGCTAAGGAACTTAACAATAATTTAGATCAAGACCTTCTGATTCATATTTCTGAAACATTAAATAGTTGAATATTTCTACATACTTGTCGGTGATTTCATCCTGAATAGGCATTTTTCTTCTCTGACATTTTTCAGTGTGCATCACAGTACTGACTTGAGGTAACATAAACTGCTTAAATAAATGCGGTCCATTTAACTTATTCAAGAAAAAAATAAAGGTCAATTTGCCTATTTAGATAACGTAGACTGTAATGGGTGGTCATATTCTACCCATTTTCATTTTTTATTCATAGCATTTACCATAATGTTTTTTCTTCATTATGTAGGTTAATTTAAGTTACAGTTTTGTATTAAATCAATATGACTAGGTCTAACTTTTCTAGAAGTCTGGAGTGGGAAAATGAACAAGAAAATGGAAGTTATTGAAAAACAATTTCTTCATATAGATTAAAGTAAGTATTCCTGACCTGCTGTTCAGGATTCATGATTATCCCTGTTAAAACAAACATAGAATAGATTTTAATGCTTCTAATAATTTCTCAAAACATAATTGCAAATAGTGATCTCGATGCTACACATCTATCATGTATGGTATTATGGTAAAATGGGTTGTGTGAGCGTCAATATTAATAATTTGTTGATAAGGCCTGGGTTTTCTGTTTTAGCTATCGAATAAAAATGAAAAGGGAAAAGATCAATTATGCTACCGATCATAATATAATCCTATTATTTCCAACCAGCCTTATTGCCACTCATAATTTAAAGTTTATTGTTCTAGGTTTACAGTTGGATGAAGCAAAAAATGCAGGGGCAGATTTTGTAGGTGGAGAGGACCTTATAGAACAGATAAAAGGAGGATTCATGGAATTTGATAAATTAATTGCTTCTCCAGATATGATGCCTAAGGTGTTGCTTTTTCTTGCCAATGCTAAACTTTTACTTCAATTTTTGTTTTTTAAATTGTTTCCTGTTTATTGTCAGTATTCAAAGAACCCAGGAAATAATGTTGCCTTGAATTTTCAATAAGTAATCTGAATGGTTGCTAGCTGGTTGAATTATTAACAATTTTTGTTGAAATCCACTCATTTGGAGGTTAAAAATTCTTCTTCTGCTTGGTGACATGATATGAGATAAACCCAATTGACTCTTGTTTTCAATATAAAAAAGCTTGTGATGAGATGCTTATCTGCTTCAAACTATATTGTAATAACTAACAAGACCTTAGTATGGGGTTAAAGTTAATTTTGTAATGTAATATAAGCCGTTTTTCATTACATTTATAACATTTCTCCCTAGATTGAATGGTTGGTAATTCTGTATGCATTATTTAGAGGTGGTTTTTTTTTTCCCATTTAAATCTTCAATCATGCTTGTACCAGGTTGCTGATCTAGGGATGATCCTGAGGCCAAGGGACCTGATGCCTACTGTAAGAAATGGTACTGTGACAGCCAATATTCTTCAGGTATTTTTATCCACTTTTCTATGGTTTACAAGCACTTTCTATAAGAAACACATTTTCTATTTGAACTTGAAAAACTATTTGTAGCTTTTCAATTTCTCCCTGACCCCCTTCTTCCCCAAAACCAATGTCTACACAATTAAACATACTTGCCCCATCAAATTATATTTTCTGTCTGTTCTTTTAAATGGAGATGTGGGAGAGAAGTCTGGATTCTCTCTATTCTAGGTGGGAAAATGACTCATTTTGAAGTATTTCTTGCTGTCCAATTGATTAAACAGTCTAGATTTTTGTTGAAAATAAAAAACCATTCTTAACAGATGAGGATGGTACAATTTTAAATTAACTAATGTTGCTTTTGGATTTAGATTTGGATTTGGATCCTAAAAATATATAAATCTAAATCCAAATCCATATTTTATTGTATTATAATTCTCATGTAATTTTAAATCTTCCTTACACTTCCATTATCTGTACTAGTCACTTTAACTCTTGTTCTCTTCCTGTTTTCATTTCCCAAATCCCCTTTTTTCACTGCCTTTGAATTTAAAATTTTTTATATTATCTAAAATTTAAATTCAAAGCCACCAATCCAAACCCTTCCTAAAGGTTAGAATTTGTAGAAATGGTTGGCTTTTCCACTTAAAATGGAGAGTATCCTTGGGCATGGTAGAGAACTTTTGAGGGCTGAGAATTTTCTGCTCGTGACAAAGAAGCAAGTCCCTTTTATTTTCAAATGCATTTACTTAATCAGAGTTCCTTACTCCTTTTTTCAGGCTATAACAGAATTCAAGCTCGGAAGGATCGAATACAAGGCCGATAAAACTGGAACTCTGCATTTGCCTGTCGGAGGTGCTGACTTTTCGGAAGAGGACATATTCATGAAGTTCGCTGCTGCAGTAGTACGTTCTAACCTGAGCTGCTTGTGCCTATGCATTTACTCACAAATGTGGTTTTGAATTTGATTGATTGTCATAATATTTCAGGAATCAATGGAAGCAAACAAACCACCTGGTGTCCAAGGTGTGCACTGGAAAAGTGCACGTCTATGCGCATCACGAAGGGGACATTGTGTTTGGTTAATCATGGAAGAGTTGCTGGATTACAAGCTTCCATCTGATATCAAAAGTTAGGCCACCTGTAAATGCTCGCTTGCTTCGTTTTAATCAGTTCTCTGGGGTGTGGCCTCTGTTCGATCCTGCGCCAAATATCTAATTAGTCAAAAGATGGTTTGAAAAGTGACATAGAGCCCAGGGAAGGACAAGAAGACGACCTTTTGGTGGCTATATCTAGGCTGAAATCTGGCTCCAATAGTGTGCTGACCCCAGAGGAGAATAATCTTGTATTTAGTGAATTTTCTTTTTTATGGCATTTTTATGTTTTTAATCTTTCTATATATAGGTTTTGATCAGATGCTTCAGCTTCTATTTACTAGGCTATCCGAATGACTTATTATTATTATTATTTTCAAATAAAGCCTGAAAGCACAAGCTTGGTTTTTGTTGGTGGCAATTGAACGTTTCTGGATTGAACTATGCAATTTTTCTTCTGTTGAACTGTCGATATAATTTTGCTAATTTGCGGAAAATATGCATTTTTGATATATAACAAGTTTGAAACAGGAAAACAAGAACTGTAAATAATCCTGTTGGTTATATCCTCGAGTATTAACGCTTTGTAGATTAGCGTCCCTTCTCTCTATATGATGTACATGACTTGGATGAGGGATTGGCGGAAACTCCAATGGGAAATGCAATTTTTTAAAAATAAAACTGATATACTGTCTCTGTTTTATAATTTTGCTAAAACTTAATTTTAATCCTCTAATTTTATATAAAATTTTAATTTAATTACTTGATTTTATAAAATATGTTTTTAATTATTTAACTTTGACATCGTTAATTTCAAATGATTATTTTTTACACCACACATTGTTATTTTTAAAAAATTAAACTTAATAAGTTAACATTTGATAATATTTTGTCAATATTTAAAAATTTAATTTAAAATTTTTTTGTGATAAAATTAATAATGTTAAAATTAAAGAACTGAAGATGTACTTTATAAAATTAAATGACTGAAATGAGATATTGTATAAAATTAAAAGATTAAAAGTATACTTTAGCCAATATGACTGAAATGAGATATTGTATAAAATTAAAAGATTAAAAGTATACTTTAGCCAATATGTTAAGAAAAAGTAAAAAGGTGTTTTACAACAATGTAGGCCTTTGAGCCATGTCAACAACAACAACAACAACAACAAGCCTTTATCCCACTAGGTAGGGTCGGCTACATGGATTGCAAGACGCCATTGTGCTCTATCATTTATTAAGCTTTTAGAAATATTATTAATTAAGAGATCACGTTCAACAACTTCCAAGAGTGTTCTCTTAGGCCTTCCTCTACCTCTCTTAATCGGACTCAAAGTTATATGTTCCACTCTTCTCACTGGTGCCTCCCTTGGTCTTCTTTGTACATGCCCAAACCATCTCAACCGATTTTCTACCATTTTTTCCTCAATAGGTGCCACCCTCACTTTTTCACGTATGTGCTCATTTCGAATTTTATCTTTACGTGTATGTCCGCACATCCATCGTAACATTCTCATCTCTGCTACTCCAACTTTATGCTCTTGCTGTCCCGTTAGAGCCCAGCATTCACTACTATATAACATTGCCGGCTGATAGCAGTACGATAAAACTTTCCTTTAAGTTTATTAGGCACCTTACGGTCACAAATAACTCCTTTAGCTTTTCTCCAATTAAACCACCCAGCTTGAATTCTATGTGAAATATCTCCACTGATTTCGCCATCATTTTGAATAATGGCTCCCAAATATCTAAACTTTTCCACTTGAGGTATGATTTGATCTCCCAATTTCACTTCCAAATTATTTTCGAATAGTCCTTTGAGCCATGTCAAAATGAGAGTAATTAAATCTGAGATTCAACATTATAATTAAAAACATCCAAGATTAAAGATCTTTGTTGAAGAGTTCACAAAAATTTCTACTCATAGCAAACTATTAGAGGGTAGGATCTAGAGGAGCTTAACAAATTGTTCTTGATAATCCAAGAAAACATCAAATGCAGACAGGTAAGATTAAAAAGTCTTGGATCCATTACAGTTGACTGCTACTAGAGGAAAGATTGTATCTCTCGGGACTTTTGCCAAATGGAAACTTGGCAAAAGCTGAGTCTTTCACATTTTTCAAGCCAAATCTTTCATCCCTCACAATTAATAAGGGAGTGGAACACAGGAATGCGATCAAATTCAATTCTTGAAGACATTGAGTCTGCCCTATAGAAAAAGGCCATAGACAAATATTAGTGAAATGGTGAACAGTGCCAACAAAATCCTTGAATAACTTATCAGGATGGGAAATGACTACTTTGTGAAATGTTGCTTTCCTCTTTTGGCAGATTAAATTTAACAAAATAATGATTTGCAAAATGGTATCATTTCATCCTTCCTTGTTTAAAGAGGGTAGCGCAGAACACAACCAAGAAATCAAACCAACATGAGAAATATCCAAAGATCTAACGGACAGAGCTCCAAACCAAAGACTTCTAGTAAAAGGATGAGAACGGAAAACATGATCAAGAGATTCATCCCCATAGCAACCTAACACAGAGTCAGATGCAACATTGAGATGATGATTCTGCAGAACATTACCAGCAGGTAAGGCCAAATGAATTAATTTCCAAATGAATAATAAATACTTCAGAGGCAAGTGCAACTTCCGGATAAAAAAGAGACCATAAGGATATGGTAAATGAGTAACTCCAGAAGGTTCTAAACAACTACTGTAACCCAGCTTCACAGTATATAAACCATCAGGACTAGTAGACCATAGTAAGTGATCTGGTTTATCATAGAAGGAGACAGGAGTAGACAAAATTTTATCAACAATATTATGATCTTAGAGTTTCATGACTAGAGTAGTGTTCAACTCTAGAGGGTACCTGCAAGAAGGATTTTGAACAAGAAGGACAGAGACCTTGATGATAACTAAATGAGAAGCATTATCCCTGTGAAGCCATAATTGAAATAGCTGGCTATGTATTGCTATAGGGTTTGACCGATACTGATCCGGGTCATAGCAGAACATGAAAGGTTCTCAATCCTCTTTCATACTGAGATTAACAAGTCGGCAGTCTCTCAAGTTTGGCTATAGACCTTTAACAGAACCACTTTCTTCAGACCAGCACAGCACAGCCTTCCTTTATTTCCTACTGGAGGTGTAGCCATAGCAACACATAACCAGTAATTCCCTTTACAAAATCATTGCGGAAATTCAAAACTTTTGTTAAGCACCAGATAATAATCCCCCCTTAAGCCCTAAAAAGAAATTACTCAGCCATACCTTTTAATCTTCAATACTTGCTAATGTTGAAATATTCAAACAAATACTTTTATTGATAGTAAGAGGGAAAAGTTACAAGAGAGAATTGAAATTCAGAAAGGCAAGTGAATAAGCTTCTTTGAACACCCGTGTCTTTCTAAAGAGATTACAAGCCTTTATATAGGGTTGGCATTCCAACTTTGATTATATGACTATGGTTAATTGTTGATAAAAAGTAACCCTAATTATTACAAGAAAACAAAATTACTTTTGATAAAATGGAAAAGTAAGGAGACAATATAGCTTTAGACTACTTTTTAGCTTTAGGCTTTTTGACTTTGTCATGTACTTTGTCCGCTACTTTTTGTTTCCACCATTGACAATGACTAATTGAAATGTTTTTACTATACCCCACTTACCACTGTAATTGCCTAAAAATGATATCTTCTGCTTGCAATACACCCTTCCAAAACCAGGATCATATGGTTTTTTAATTTACAGCCACTAGCAGCATCAACAAATTTAAACTTCATTGTATTTCCAAATAAAGAATTTTGTTTTGCTTCAAGTACCCTCTAAATCTGTTTGCCAATAAGTGTTAGATCTACTTGATGAGTGGATTTGATTCCTAAACCACCTTGACAAATTGGTAGGAAAAGCAAGTCCTTACTAACTAAATGAATCTTCTTGTGATTACCATTAAATGATTTTAATGCAAGAAAGAACATAAATGTTGGAAGCTAAGAAACAAATTGAATTAAAGTTAGCTGTGAGGCTTGAGACAGAATCTTTCAATGGATTCCAGTAACTGGTCGTAAATAAGAGATTTGTTACAACCAATATCAACCCAAGCGCCAAGATACTTTGCTAGCAATGAAGCAAATTGAATGCCAAGAGTATTAATGAACTCATGCTGCAATACAATAGGGGTATTAGGACTAAAAACAATACTAGAGTTGTCCTTATCAATATCTAAACCCGACTAGCGACAAAATTTCCCAAGGATTTCTGAAACTGTCTGCAGACTTTCCGTTGAACATTTAAAGAACAACACAAAGTCATCAGCATATAAAAGATGAGAGACAGGATAGGGGTTAGTAGAAGAAATCTTGATCCCCTCCAAGCAACCTTGACTTTCCTTAGTGACTAACAAGCTAGAAAGAATATTTGTAGAAAGAATAAATAAAAATGGTGAAAGAGAATCTCCCTGCCTTATGCCATTAGAGGGTAGAATAGGAGGTGTCAACCTGCCATTGAAATTGATATGATATTGAACAGTGTAAGCACATTGCAAGATAAATTTAACCATTTTATCTAGAAAACTCATCTTTTGAAGAATAGCTTCAATAAAAGTCCACGAGATTCTGTCAACAGCCCTTGAAAAGTCAATTTTACTATTCTTGGAAATATGATTTTGGTGTATAAGATCAGCAGCCAACATAATGTTGTTTGAGATGAGACGACCTTTAAGATAAGCACTTTGAAAAGGTGAGATCAGCTTAGGCAGGACTGCTTTGAGATAATTATAGAGAACTTTGGAAAATGATTTTTTAAGAGACATTGCATAAACTTATTGGCCTTAAATCCTTCAAAGACTGAGGATTATTGCCTTATGGGATTAAGGGTAATATAAGTTTTATTCAGGGCTCTAAGAATGTTCCCTAATTGCCAAAAGTAGGAGACCATTGAGAGAATATAATGATGAACAATGTTCCAATTTTTCTAATAGAATAAGGCATGAAATCTAACAGGACTTAGAGTGCTATCCTTAGGAAGTTGAAAGACAGCATCTTTAACCTCAGAATTAGTAAGTGGAGAACGCAAGATATCAACATCTTGATAATTCAATCGGGAATTAAAATCTAATCTAACTCGGAAAGCAAGATTGAAATTGTAACATCCCGAAAATTATAATTGAGATTAGTCAAATTAATTAAAGGCAAGATACTAAATTCAATCCAATTCAGGTAATTCAAGATTATCATATGATTATCTATCTTATGGGACCTTAATTAAGATTTAGGATAAGGTTATATGTGTTGATGGGTAGAGTTGGTAATTAAAGCGAGGCGGGCTTATTTAGGTTAGGTTTAATTTGTGCCAAGCTTATTTGAATCAAACTTAAAATATCATACCATATTGAAAAAGTTTATATAGTCAAGTC